GGAGTTAGAATGAAACAAACACAATGTGCATTAACTGCAGACTGTCAGCTTTAATTTGAGGGTATGTACATCCAACTCAGGTGAACGGTGTAGGATTTACAGCAGTTTGTATATGTGCCTCCCACTTGCTAAGGGACCAAAAGTAATGGGACAATTGGCTTCTCAGCTGTTCCATGGCCAGGTGTGTGATATTCCCTCATTACCCCAATTACAATGTGCAGATAAAAGGCCCAGAGTTCATTTCAAGTGTACTATTTGCATTTGGAATCTGTTGCTGTCAACTCTCAAGATGAGATCCAAAGAGCTGTCACTATCAGTGAAGCAGCCATCATTAGGCTGAAGAAACAAAACAAATCCATCAGAGAGCTAGCAAGAACATTAGGCGTGGCCAAAACAACTGTTTGAAACATTCTCAAAAAGAAGGAATGCACCAGTGAGCTCAGCAACACCAAAAGACCTGGAAAACAAGTGTGGTGGATGACCGAAGAATTCTTTCCCTGGTGAAGAAAACACCCTTCACAACAGTTGGCCAGATCAAGAACACTCTCCAGGAGGTAGGTGTAAGTGTGTCAAAGTCAACAATCAAGAGAAGACTTCACCAGAGTGAATACAGAGGGTTCACCACAAGATGTAAACCATTGGTGAGCCTCAAAAACAGGAAGGCCAGATTAGAGTTTGCCAAACAACATCTAACAAAGCCTTCACAGTTCTGGAACAAAATCCTATGGACAGATGAGACCAAGATCAACTTGTACCAGAGTGATGGGAAGAGAAGAGTATGGAGAAGGAAAGGAATTGCTCATGATCCTAAGCATACCACCTCATCAGTGAAGCATGGTGGTGGTAGTGTCATGGTGTGGGCATGTATGGCTGCCAATGGAACTGGTTCTCTTGTATTTATTGATGATGTGACTGCTGACAAAAGCAGCAGGATGAATTCTGAAGTGTTTTGGTCAATATTATCTGCTCACATTCAGCCAAATGCTGCAGAACTCATTGGACGGCACTTCACAGTGCAGATGGACAATGACCCAAAGCATACTGCAAAAGCAACCAAAGAGTTTTTGAAGGGACAGAAGTGGAATGTTATGCAATGGCCAAGTCAATCACCTGACCTGAATCCCATTGAGCATGCATTTCACTTGCTGCAGACAAAACTGAAGGGAAAATGCCCCAAGAACAAGCAAGAACTTAAGACAGTTGCAGTAGAGGCCTGGCAGAGCATCACCAGGGATGAAACCCAGCGTCTGGTGATGTCTATGCGTTCCAGACTTCAGGCTGTGATTGATTGCAAAGGATTTGCAACCAAGTATTAAGAAGGGAAAGTTTGATTTATGATTATTATTCTGTCCCATTACTTTTGGTCCCTTAACAAGTGGGAGGCACATATGCAAACTGCTGTAAGTCCTACACCGTTCACCTGAGTTGGATGCACATACCCTCAAATTAAAGCTGACAGTCTGTAGTTAACGCACATTGTGTTTGTTTCATTCCAACTCCATTGTGGTGGTGTATAGAGCCAAAGATGTTAGAATTGTGTCGATGTCCCAATATTTCTGGACCTGACTGTATTTGGTAAGAATGTTTAAAACCTTTTCTTAATTAGTGTATATTCTCAGTGCTCTCACTTAACTTCTGAATACATACAGACATATCCATCCATTCATCCACATATATCTCCACCTATTCACCCACTTATTACTCTCACACTCAGCAGTCCACTGATACCAAATGAACTATCCCAAAGACCCTTTTCAGTGCAACCCTCCCCACTGCCATTACCACCTAGATGAGTAGCTAATGACCAGTATTTTGGACAATGTCTTGCAAATGGTTTTCATAAATCGCAGCGATAAGCTTCAGGACCATAAAGCCTATAGAAAATATTCCTACTTGAGTTGCCATTTGCACAGATCCTAATCAAATATCAAGTGCCACCATCGATACAAGTTCAACTCCTCCCCTCAGGACACTGCTGTAGGACATTGCATGCCAAAATAACTAGACACAGGGACATTTTTTCCCTTGTGCCATTGCTCTGTTGAACACCTCTCAGTATTGTTTCATTGTCATTAAAAAAAATATTTCAGTTGAAACTCATTTAAAATGCATAGTATTATTTAAAATTTATAATGGCTCCCTAATACACATAGGCATCAAAATTCTGCTTATAAAAGAAAAATTTCCTTAATGTTAGAATTAAGAAGACCAAACACATCTCTTGGGGAATGTGTCTGGCCTTCTGGTCCATGCTCCTCTTGCCAAGGAAGGACCTTTAGCAGACCCTGTCTAGATGTCCTCACCAAACCATATTAGGTTTAACAGGAAGGTTCTTTGATCATAGACTGTTATTTGCCCATAATCCTTCTAAACCTTAATATTCTTAAATAGATTTGAAAAAGCGCAGCAAAAAAGAATCAAGTAGGCTCAGTAGATATGGAATTCATTTCTGTTTCCTATTAGTAGATTAATGTTGTGGGAGAATTACGGTATTACACTTGAAGAGCAGAGAGATTGAAATCTAGACATATTTTTCTTCTTTCATTACTTTAGAATTGATGGGTATAGGAAACTAGATGCTAAAAATGCATTTTCTTCTTTACTCCTGGCTTTTCTATAAACTTGTTCCTCTCTCTACACAAGAGAGATCAAGGTGATACTGGATAAATATCTATCATGTATTCCATTTGGGATAAACAATATAGGGAGAGTGCAGAAAAGGGTAAAAAAAAAATACTGAGCCAAAGAAATTAAAGATCTGAGATAAGAAAAAGAAGCAGCATAATCTAATTTACACCAATACATTCACTATATATCTCATTATATTTCTCTGTCCTTGCAAGCCGTCATTGCTTGCAGCATACCTATATTGCAACCACTCCATACATCATATTTTCTTCATTAACTTCTCCCATTTTCAGTTTTCCCCATCCTCTCAACTTATTTTGGAGCAGGATTCTCATTCATTCTCTCAATATGATCAAGCCATATTTCTTTTGAATTTGTCATTTCACGTCCATATGCATTTAGTAACCATTCATAGTTTATTCTTTCTTTCGCTCGCTTGCTGTTGCTATCCCTCATTTCTTTGTTAATACTTTTTAAGTACATTTAAATACATTCACATGCTTAGAATACATTTACGGCAAATACATTTCTTGTACTACATTCAATTTGTTTTTATGTTTTTCCTGATATATCCAGCTCTCACTTCCATATAATGTACTGGTAGAAGCATATTGTCATACAGGGCCATTTTTACTCTTTTTGATAAACACTCATTCATCATAACAGACCACATGTTACCCACCATCCCTTTACCAATATTTGTACATCTTAAATTTTTCATTAATAATATTTTTAATAAACATTCCAACAAGGTATAGGCATTCATCTACTTGCTGTAATGTTCACCATTTATTTATCATTGGTGCTCACTCTATATTTTCCTTATCAAGGACCAAGACCTATCTTGATGATACTTTGTCAGTTTCAGTATAAGTTAATATATCATTTTAGTATGTTCTGCAGAATAGATGCCCTTGACCTGATTGTCTTTTTTCTTGCTCTTATTTATCTTCCTTGCAATGTGTAGTACAGACAGGTCAGTGTTTTCATTTTTAATCATCAATATTTAGTCCTCCCAGAAGCAATTTGAATTCTTAATCTATTGCCACTTGACCAGAAAAAAATTCATTACAACAAAATTTCTTCTGATGCAAAAATATTTTTTGTCTCTTAGTGAAAATATACAAAACTTGACCCTGTGCTTTTTGTTACTATTGTTATCTCATTGCTTTTTAAATCTTATTCTGGGAGATGGAAGCTCAAATAATTGGTCTATCTAACTCAATGCTATGTGCACTGAGTAGCAGAATCTCTTTAGAAATTATACTTCAATATAGTTTAGATTTTATTTTCAACCAGATACTATAATAAAACTTCAACATTTTTGAAATCTAAGTTATTTGGCTTCAAAAAATGAAATCAATTTTAAAATGTTTTAATATTAATATACTGTTAACTGGGAGTTCATGTCACATTCTTGTATTTAACACCAAGCCATGTAAATTATGGATGAACTATCAGATGAAAAGTAATGAATAAATTAAAAAAAAGCAACACCTTTTCATCTGGATGCCTGGTAAATTTCACAACTAAAGGATAAGAGTTATTCAATTCAAAGAATTATTAAGCTATAAATAAATCCATGGCAAGTTTCTTTACTTCTATAGAAACATTGAATTTAATTTTCTTGAGGATATAGATAAAGATTAAATGAAAGATCACATAAAATATTTGTAAATTAAAATATTTACACTCCATATAATACCTGCTTTTAGTAGAAAGTGTAGCAAGTTTAGTAAAGGGTTGTGTCTTAAGATGTTAGAGAGTCAAACTATCACTTAAGTTAGTTATACTAACTGAAAGGCAAATATAGATCCTAATATGTCTGATTTAGTGTTCCCTATAATCCTAAACATAATTAAAACTTAAAGTGGATAGCATTTGTAATCATTAATGCTAATTTGGGAACAAAATATGGCATAACAAAGAAGGAAGGCTAGCAGACATACAAGTATGTGCAGAGTAATGTACCACAGTTCCCCCCCCTCCTATCCAAGCCCCAAATCTTTAGTTAAAACAGTGTAGCAGATGACCAGGCTGAGCCTGAGGGAAGAGTAAAGGTGTTATAAGGCACAAGTCCCTGAACACCCACAAGAGATCTAAGTCCAGCCTACTATGAATGCCTCTCTTATCTCTCGCTCATTTCTCTTGACCGCCAGTTGATCAGATTCTTGTAAAGAGCTTAAGCTTGCAATAAATCTTTATACTGATTTGAACTGCCTGGATCTCCTGATTTCCCCAGTGTTTGACGGGCAGAGATTGAAGATTTCATCACCACCCCACCTACCATAAAGAAGGCCCCAAAGAGCTGATGCATTTCTAAAATGGGAACATTTGAAAATCTGTATTGTTTTTTCTTTGTGTCTTCTCAGAGTTGTTCTTGTGGAAAATATTCCTGAAGGCATAAACTATTCAGACAGTGCACCATCCCATTTGTCTCTTTTCCAGGGGTGGATGAATTTACTTAATATGGCTAAAGCATCGGTTGACATAGTATCTTCCCAATGGAACCTTAGTCACAGTCATTCAACTCCATGGCAGGTACATTCTTTAAATTTTTCAAGTCTTATTGTCTGCTTGGTTTACAGTTTTACAGTTCAATCTTGCCGGAGTCTGAATCCTTCAGGTTTTATTTAAATAAGAAAATAATTTCCAGTTATTCTCATTGTGAGATTGAAGCAGTTGCCTGTAGAATAGCCTTTCAGAATGAGTAATAATATTTCAGATCATATAAGTTTAATACTGAAAATGGTGATACCAGATTATAAGGAGTTTCCTAACTTGATCATGGACTTTTTCATGTTTTATTATAATGATATTTTGCATATGTATTTAGACAGAAAATAAAATTCTTTTTAAAGAAACCTCTTTCAAAATTACTAAATTAGTTTACATATTCTACTAAATGGTCCTGGCACTCTCCTGGTTGTCAGATTGCAATGATGCCAGCTGAGATTCTGGGAATTATTATTTAATGAGGATGGGAAGGTTGCAATAAAGGATAAACAGTGCCTGTTTTGTTAGTCAAATTCATTTCTGTTTGTTCTTTAGTAATATGTTAGTTTATCACAGCGATTTTAAACAATCCTAATTTTTTTTTACTATGGTTAGAATAAAAGTATTTCTAATATATGGCAAATATAATTTTTGTGCTGTTTGTGAAGTCTCATAGTAATGAGAAGAAAATTTTATTGTCTATGTTATTTTTATAAAAGCATTGATGAATCCATGAAAAAATATATTTTGATGAATTAGTCTCAAGGCTAAAAGCAATATAATTAATATTCTTTAAATACAAGATCACAAATTGATTAAACTAGGATATTCCTGCTCCATAATTCAAAATTCCTATAAATTACAAATATCTATCTAATATTGTTCAGCTGTCTATCAGAAATTCAATAGGATTGTTTGTTTTAAAATACTATATTTACAGCCTACCTCAATCCAAATGGACTCAGGAATTTGGAAGGTTAGACTCTTCTAAAATACTTTTCAATACAACAAGTGATTTAGAGATTTAGGAGTTGCTAACAATTCAGATCTGAACTGTGAAATCAAAAGCAGTTTTAATTGAATGTTTGTTTATTCCACACTCGCATTTAGCATATTTAGCATATCAATACGTTTATAAGGAACAATTAAGGTGATCCCAAACATTAATATTACTTTTTGCTCTAACACTCTTAAGAAGGATTTACCTGCAATTTTTAAATTGATATAATTCCAATTTGTCAATTTTTCTTATAAACAAAGACTGAATTATCACAAAATCAGCCAAACAGGCCTTGAAAAAATTCAGTTTTTGCAGCCTTTGCTGTTGCAATAACTGAATTTTTGGTAAAAGAACAATCAAGCCCCTGCCGAAATATTGGCGAGATCAAGTGATAAGATTATAGCTGTGCACATAATGGATTTTGAGAAAGATCATTTAGATTCCATTAAAAAGTTATCGAATTATACTTCATGGTGAAAGATGGATATCTAGAAAGTTAAGCTTTTTTTTTTAGAGAAATTGCAATTTAAATAGAAAAAAAATCTCAGTATCTGTCCATCCCCATACTAAGGGATCTCTCTTTGTATCTGTGTATAAAGCTGTAATTAGATTCACTTAATAGCAATTATCTTTCCAATAATTCATGGAAATTTTCAGTCATCTGTTTATATCAGCAACTCACTTAACAACTGTCTTGCTTAGCAATGGAAATTTGAGGATCAATTGTGGTCATAAGTCAAGGACTACATGTACAAGCTCTTTCCACTTGTGTGTTGCGTCATGCATGGCTGGGTCTAGAATTACAGGCAGTGATTCTTTAGAGTCAGATGACTTCCAAACACAAGCCACTATCTTTTGTTGGGGAAAAAGCTTGCTACTCCTCACTTAGACCTTAACAACTTACAGGAATGCTCAAAAAATGTAAATGGTATTGTGTCAATTTTTTTTTTTTTTTTTTTTGCATTCAGTAGAGGAACCACCACCAAATTCAAATTTCTGTCAATGCATTTTCTAAAATGCTGATTAGCAACTTAATATAATTAGAAGCTTGCAATATTATCCTACCTTGCAATTCTTTTAAAAAGTCAGAGTACATAACATGAATTTTAGAAGTAATGTAGTTTGCAATCTCGATGCCAAAGATGCTGTCAAAATTTAGCATCTAATTGCTTTTCAAAATTGCTCACTGATTTTCGTGATAGTGTAAAGGCTTCCAATTATTTTAACTTTTTGGCTTAAAATGAGACATCTTGCACAGTGTTCTTATTTAAGGGGAATGTGGGATATCATTCTGCTTGATACTATCTACATGACTTTGCAAGCTTCAAATCCTTTTTCCAGACAATAGGTTTAAAGTCTTATAGAAACACTTATCATATAATATAACACAGTATATTATACATCTCCATACATACACACAGACACAATGGCATTGATATTTTTTTTTAAAAGTAATGTTTATTAAAAATTGTTTCATAGATTAAAGAGAAATATGAAATAATATAAAGATTAAAGAACAGGAAAAATGAGGTGAGATGAAAAAGTAAGAAAAGTGTGAAAGGAAATACAGATAGAAGAAAAAAGAATATATATATAAACTTTCTTACAGCTGTTGAAACAAATTTATCCCTTTTTCGTTCCTCATTAAAATGACATAATTCTCCTCTTCCCGTAATCAACCATTTTTAATCAGCAAATCCATACACAACCACTTCATTTTTTTTCATTTTCAGAAAAAATCCATAAAAGGTTTCCAGTCCTTTTAATAAAGATATAATTGACATATCCCTAATTACTGTAGGTCAATTTTGCCATTTATACATGTTCCATCATCTTTACAATCCATTCTTCTATTGTGGGCATTTCAATATTTTTCCAGTTTTCTGCATATAGTGGTCTTATTGCAATTACCATATACAAAACTAATCTTCCATAAATCTTTTCTAATTGGTTATCCATAAATCCAAGTATAAATTATTCTGATTTCCTTTGAAAGTGAGTCTTTAAAATTCATTGCATCATTATATTTATTTGTATCAAATATTTTTTGTTTTTCACAAATCTACCATTCATGTTAAAATGATTCTTCATATTTTCCACATTGCCAACAGAGATTAGAAGTATCTTTATACATCTTAACTTATTTCTCTGGTGTCATACGCCAATGGTATATCATTTAGTAAAAATTCCTTCTTAAATTTTAACACAATATGAATTTCAGTCCTTTTAACTACTTTTTCTCCCAATTGATTCATCTCTGTATATTATAACCAAAATTCTTAGCCCAGTTTATCATACACTGGGGAACACAGTGGCTCACATGGTTAGGATGCTGATCTGGCGATCAGCAGACTTGTGTTGGAGACCTGGTTGCTGCCGTGTGGCAGGGTGAGCTCCCATCACTCACTCCAGCTCCTGCCAACTCAACAATTTTAAAGCAGATGACTGTGAATAGATAGATGGGTAGGACTTCAGTGAGCAACCTAATGGGAACATGAAAGGAGCACCATCTGGGCATCCCCCAGGCAGTGGTGATGTCATTGGCCCTTTTGTGCTTCTGACACAGAAGTATAGCATCATGCACTGTTTAACTTGCTCTTCCTCCATTTCAAATCTGAGCAAAAGTTTGGACATCCCATATTCATCATTGTATAGAGTTCAATTTCAGAGTCCATTTTATCTTTTTTTAATTCCCAATTACCTTTTTATCTATATTAAATCTCTTTGTGTGTATATGAAAACCATCCAAAAATAAATTCTTCTGCAGTCAATTGTTCTCTTGAATTCCTTTTAAGCTTCCCAGGTTCCATAAACTCATTGATTTCATATATAATGTAATTCCTGCTCATCCCACTAGTCCCTTCCTTTAAATGCTGCCATCTTATGGGACTTAGGATGTGTGCCTTTTCTATGGCAGCCTCTGTCCTATGGAGACTCTTCCGCCTGAGGTCTAGAAGTTCTACACCTCCTTAACCTTCTGAAAAGCACTTAAGACCTAGGTTTTCCACCAACTGCTGAGATTGGCATGGAATGAACTTGTTATGGCATGCATAGGAAGGTTGCAGCACCTAGCCTTTTTTGTTTTAATTCCATGTTTATACATTGTTTTTATTTTTGGGTTGCGAACTGCCCAAAGTTTGGTTTAAAATGGGTCACCATATCAATGTTTTACGTAAGTAAATAAATAAATCTTTTCCTCATAGGGGCAGCAAATTTTTGAAAAATTGGAAGAATTATTGTCCCAAAATATTGAAATCAAATTAGTGAGTGATATTCTTCACAAGAAGTCCAAATTATTAAATGACTTGGAAAAAAAGGGTAAGGGCATGAACTTTGTTTTGTCTTATTATAGTGATAAAGCTCTATTGCTTATGTCACACATGTGGGTTGTTGACATGGTATACAAAACCATTGCTGGATTATGCCTTGTAAAGTCAAGCATTTTTGATTTTCATTTAGTTCTGTGGAAAAGTTGAACATGATTAAGTATTTTGTATTGCGTAAATGGTTTCACTTTGATCAAATTATGCCAATCCATATTAAAACAGAAAACACTGTTAGATATATAAATCTTCACAATGATGCTGATAGAAAACAAAGAACAAACTTACAAAAGAACTCAATTTTTTTCTGCAATATCAAAAGTTCCCTTCATTGGGCATCAGGCATATAGGACAGCTATATACTTTTATGGTGGTAGAGTGAAATATGTCTCTCTGTGTTACTTAATTTTGAATTGTGGTGATTTTAAAATAGAGCACAATCAAGTCAAGTGGAAATATACTTTATAAACCATATATTTTAATATGGCACACTCTGGGAGGAGACATTCATAATACAATTTTGTATTAATAAGCTTTAAACAAATAATTGAAATTAAGCTCTCTGCATATTGGAAAATAAACATCTATTATATGATGTATCTCTGTGATACAGCAATTAATAATATATAAGTCCTACAACATATATAAATAAAATGTAACTGTTTACTACAGAATCCAAATATAATTTTTATATAGATTTATATAGATTATATAGATTTCAGAATTTTTTTTGCCAATTTCATACATAAGATGATGAAGTCTTCAATTTTATTGAAATATTTGTTCTATGCACTACAGTATTTATTTGTTTCAGTTCTGTCAAATAATAAATTTTCATGTTGTAATTGATGGATTTGATCCATCAGTTCCAAAATTGGATACTCACCATTTACAATACAATTTAATTACTGTATTGGTAAAGTGTTTATACAGTACTGAAGATCTAGAAGATTGTAGTATTTAACAAACCAGTTTTTGTCTGAAATAAAAACATTTTGAGCCAAATAAATCAAAGCTATACATTTATTTTCTTTAAAGAAAAAATGTTTTTATTTGTATAACTGTGGCATATGAAAAAGTATTAAGAAGTTAGCCAAATCTAGTGCTTCTTACATCCTCAGGATACAACCTGTCTGCTTGAAGTGTCAATCAATTAAAAATAAATGGTCTTGTATTGCTGGTGTGATAAAGAATACATTTCATATACTATAATTAAATAATATAACTACATTACTAAATAAATAGTTAAAAAATTCAAAAATTGAAACCCTAATTTTTCTTTTGTCCCATGTATTTATTTTACAATTACTATGTTACAATTGCTATTGTAACTAATATAATTTCTTTAAAATGCAAGGCTAGCAAGGGGGACATTGATGGAATTTGCCTAAATTGTAATCTGTTCTGTTTTATGGAGAACTTTTAAGAATGGTAATGTTTATTAATAGGAAAAATAATGTATAAGCAGTTTAAAATTTCTGTAATTTTAAATCAGGTGCAGAATTCTCCTTCTAATAACCTATCTCTATTCTTCATACTGCATTTACAGAAACGCAAACATACTGCAGTTATCTCTCTATATCTTTACCTTGTTACTATTTTAATAGGTTTTTTTAATGCCTTTATGTAACTCATAATTTACTCTCATCATTTACTGTGTCCATGTCAGGCACTAAAAGGGTCTACTGTGTTACTCTATCTTCTAGTGAAGATAACACATTCATCAACATTCAACTCACCAATATTTTAAACCATTATTGTGTCAACATTCAATTATTCAAGATGCTCTATGGGAATGTAAGCTAATTTTTATACAAACTTTCATTAACCAAGTATTTCAGGGAGAAAAACAAGTTTAGAGCTTTTATTGTTAGCATATATTCTGAAGCCTAAGGTTAGATGCACTGCATCTATTTGGGAGGTGGGAGGTAAAAGTTAAAAAGAAAAATAACTCCCATTCTAGAACTTCTTTGTAATTCACATCAAAATCAGGCTCATTTTCTCATTCACTTTGCAGGGAGGTGTGAAACCAGATGCTGTGATGAGATGGCCAACAGAATGGTGGTAAGTTATCCTAGAATGAGAAAATAACATGGAAATTTAGACATGCATAAATAAAAGAAAAAGAAATTTGGAAAACAAAAATTGGAAAATCTCCCTTAAGTTCCCATGGAGCTTCTATATTTGAATGTTGACACTTATGGATTCAATGAGATCCAGTGAATTGTATTTGTACTTGGATATAAATTTTAATTTTACTCCCAGGTCTTTCATAGACTTGTTAACTGATCTGGTGCCATTAATCTGCCAGTCTGCATAAATGAAGGGGGGGAGTCCTATTCAAATGAACAAGCATCCTGAAATCTACCTGAGTCTGCATTAGAGTAGTGGGCTTTTCATTTTATTTCATACTGCTACTGTACAAAAGTTTTTCTATCCTTTTACCAAGTGCCAGTAAGAGTATTTCAAAATTGCAGATCTGCATGGTGAGTTCTTAAACACAAATGTAAGACATATGGAATGTATGCCCTGCAGATTCTGTTTCAAGCTATCTCTATCTTGTTGTTCAGTTGTATATAAAATGAGGAAGGATGAAAGAGAAATTCCAAATTATAAAGCAAACCTATTCAAATGTATCACACAGCACCATACAATTAACCTAAAATATTTATAGGATCCTCTCTTAAATGTCTCATAACATTGGGAAGCTATGATATCTATTGGGCAAGGGATTTGCAGACCAGACTTCCACTCTTTAGGAGGTTATTCAGAAACACAGTAATGTGAGAAGAAACACTGTGTTAGAGAAAACTAATGATAAAAGTGAATAAAAGCAATAAATGATGGAAGTAAACTTGCCCCAGAGTAAATGGAATGGTTCAGAACAGGCTCAGCATTGAACAGGAAGTAATATGTGTGATAATACCTATATATGATTTAGGCATTTATGGAGAAATACATAATGGAACACTTGTGGTGACATTAGAGATATGTTAGTTGGGAATGTCAATGTCTGTGTAGAGTACTTTTGTATGCAGAAGATGCCCAAACAAATCGCAGCAAATTCAAGATAGATTATATGAGACAATGGAGAGTATGGCCCAGAGGTAATGCTTCAGATAATCAATTGTATCTGACAGGAAAATGGAGTGACTCACTGTATATGTTATGTATAAATGTGAAGAGTTAAAGCAAGTAGATGAATTTATGTACCTTAAGACAGTGTTTATTCAAGATTAGAAGATGAATAGATAAGATTTTAAGACATGCAGATGCTGGTAGAAAACAGTGGATAGTTAAACTGTCTGTTGTAAGGTATCTGTATTAAGGTGTAGTGAATTATAGTGTAAACTAGATATTTTAATACTTCTTGTACATGTCTTATGTCATGCCTTAATTTTTGTGGTTTCCTAGTTCTTGCTCCATTTCTGTACTGTGAAAATTCTGCTAACTGTTAAAGGGAATAGAATGATGTGTGTATACATATATACATATATACATACATACATACATATATACATACATACATACATACATACATACATACATATATATATATCAGAGGTGGCTGAACACCATAAAGGATGAAGGGAAAACAAAAAATAAAAATCTACCAGTTAAGTCTAAACTGGGAAGTATATTATATGTGTGTGAGAGATAAAGATATATCATAGAGCTTTAATTCTCAGTAGGATGTGCCATATTCGTCTTTGAGCATAAATACTTGCAAAATGCTTATTGATTATGTGACTTAGTATAATGAGGTAGATAAAGGAAACATGGCACACAAGAAAAAATATAGAAAGCATTAATTTTCCTATGATTGCAGAGATATACTGTGGTGCTGGAAAGTAGGTCAATATTAGAAAATATTAAGTTGCTGATACTCAAATATATGAACTATGTAAATTGACCTGTATGAATAGTTGAGGAGACATACAGAATCTATTTTTAAAAAATTGGATTTCACTATGCAGCTATTAAATAAATCCAAACCATTGGAACACTTTCTTTAACCATGGAACCTGATAATTTATGACTTGTTGTATACCAGGGATGAAATGCTACCAGTTTGCTCAGGCGAACTGGTAGTGGCGGCAGCACATGGTTTGGTGAACCGGTAGCAGTGGTATCACAAGGCTCCACCCACCCGTCCAGATGTCATTACTTAATGGTTTTAACCAGGAAGTAATCTGTTTTTGACCCCTGCTCATGCGCAGCAGGCTTTGCACATGCGCAGAGGGTCCAAAATTGGATGTGAAGATGGCGCACACGCGTGCTCCGCTTGCGTGCACAGGTGGAGCATGCGTGGCGTGCGCACTTCCGAACCGGTAGGGAAGGTAAGTAGATTTTACCCCTGTTGTATACCCATCCGAAATGAGTCCCAAATAAGCCTTTCTTTGCTGGGACTACAGAGGTATAAATCTGTTTATATTTCTGAAGCTTTCAGTATGTCTGTCAGTTCTAGAAGTTGATAGAGGAAGTCTCTTAGTTCATTGTGTTTACACAATGAGGTTCTGCCCTGTCACATGAACAGATACAGTACATGAAATTATTAAATGAGGCCACCCAGGATCTAGAGTGGTGTGTTATATAGAAGATCTGTATATAATAAAACTTCCAGTGCAGAATTTTACCCTGGGAGAGCTTCATGAAAACAGGATTCCTGTGCTAATAAAACCCCAGATTATATTGGAGCTTTAGCATGTTCAATTTATCAAGTGAAAGCCTCTTTTCTATAGGTATTAATACTACTGTATACTGATATTTGGAAGAGGACAAATGGCATGTATACAGCTTCCATATTGACTTTGTAGAATTATAATATCTTCATCTTAGTGTTAAATTGGATGAGGACTAGTTAAGGTGAGTGCACTGCAAAACAAGTGGACTTTGCAACTAAGTGATATAAATACTGAGAAAAACATCAACAACCATATGTTTACATACACAAACACACACACACACGCACGCACGCACACTCACTCACTCACT